TTAAAATTTTGAGGCAATTACCCCCAAAATCAATCCCAGCCTTTCCTATGTGGTATGGTATCTTGCAGTACAATTTCAGAGAGATCCATACACTTGAACACAAGTTATTGTCCGGAAACTAGAAAAATGCTTATTTTTGGCCCCTTATTCCTAAACGTTTTGGGCAATTACCCCCAAACTCAATTCAAGCTTTCCCTTTGTGATATGGAACCTTGTAGTACAATTTCAGAAAGATCTATACACTTACACACAAGTTATTGTCCTGAAATTAGAAAAATGCTTGTTTTTTGCCCCTTTGTGGCCCCTTTTTCTTAAAATTTTGAGGCAATTACCCCCAAAATCAATCCCAGCCTTTCCTTTGTGGTATGGTATCTTGCAGTACAATTTCAGAGAGATCCATACACTTGAACACAAGTTATTGTCTGGAAACTAGAAAAATGCTTATTTTTGGCCCCTTATTCCTAAACATTTTGGGCAATTACCCCCAAACTCAATTCAAGCTTTCCCTTTGTGATATGGAACCTTGAAGTACAATTTCAGAAAGATCCATACACTTACACACAAGTTATTGTCATGAAACTAGAAAAATGCTTGTTTTTTGCCCCTTTTTTGGCCCCTAATTCCTAAAATTTTGAGGCAATTACCCCCAAAATCAATCCCAGCATTCCCTTTGTGATATGGAACCTCATGGTACAATGTCAGAGAGATCCATACACTAACACACAAGTTATGTCTGGAAGTTACAAAAATGCTTATTTTTGGCCCCTTTTGGGCCCCTAATTCCTTAACTGTTGGTACCACAACCCCCAAAATCAATCCCAACCTTCCTTTTGTGATATTGAACCTTATGGTAAAATTTCATAGAGATCCATTCACTTAAACTAAAGTTAGAGTGCGAAAACCAATGTGTCTTCGGACGACGACGCCAACGTCATACCAATATACAACCACAAAATTTTTTTTGCGGTCGTATAAAAAGGGGGATAACGAAGCTTTTGAAAAAGGGGTTTGGCCCAGAATTATTACCCCTGTCTTAAGTTAGGAACACTGTCAGTGGTTGTCTTTAGATACATCATAATGTTTATTTTTCCTTCAGGTAACTTGGTATTGATGACAGATTTTAGGTAGTCTCTGCAGAGTTTATTGACAATAGACATGTTAACTTGGGATGGTATAGATCTTAATTCATATATGGAATAGACTCTAGCTGAAGACCATACAATGTATGTTGACCTCTTGATGACATTTCGGTGTTCTTGAGTTGTTGTATTGCAACCATTGACATGTATCCCACATCCCTTATTATTTTTGTAAAGGTTATTCCCAGAAACTATTGTAAATTCAGAAATTATTGTGAGGTTTTTATTAATGCGAATAATGCGATTGGGTAAATATGGCAATAATAAGAACTCGCATTCTGATATCGGACACATATATATGCATGAAGCTTTTCCTGAAATCGCAATATTTAATCTCGCATTTTTGTTCAGTCTTCAAAAATCGCAATAATAAATGCACGCAATAATTTCTGAATTTATAGTAACCAACCAGGATGAAGATTTATCTTTGCATGTCATGTTTTGCTCTGTAAAGACATGTTCAAGTTGGTGGAGTAGTTTCAGAGAAGATGATTCAAACGTGAATTCCACAGGAATTAAGCCTGATTGATATCAATCAGATAAGGTATGGCATACAATAAGCATGAAAAGGGAACCTTGGAAAAGGGTCCTGTTAAATTCAAGAAGAAATGGCATTCATAGTACATGTTGTTTCTAAAGCACTGAAATATATGCTAAAGTTAAAATTAAAAATTGAAAGAGTAAACTTTTCTTTAAAGGACAATGACCATTATTTCTGTCAAAGGCATGAGTCAAATTTCCCCTCTGTTTCAGGGTCAATATAAAAAAAATTGTAAGGGTTCCGCGGAACCCAGTGTCTCGCCTACTTTTGGTCTTAATCGCAGGCTCAACAAAAACGAGGAAAAAAATTAATAAAAATATTCCTTTCTATACCATCTTTTGATTGTAAGTAGCTTCTGTCCAAGTTTGGTACAAATCCAGGATAGTTTATGAATCTAATAAATGTTTTAAAAACTTAAACTGCAGACTGTATGTAATGTTAACTGGAAGAAAAACTAAGTCCATTTATAAGTAAAATACGGAAAAAATTGAACAAAATTTTAACAAAATTTCCTTCTAGATACTAGCTTTTAATCATAAACAAGCTTCTGTCCAAGTTTGGTACAAATCCAGGATAGTTTAAGAAAGTTATTAAAATTTTAAAAACTTTAACCACAGAGTGAATGTAATGTTAACTGGCAGAAAAACTAAGTCCATTTATAAGTAAAATACGGAAAAAATGGAATTTTTTTTTTACAAAATTTACTTCTGGATACTATCTTTTAATCATAAACAAGCTTCTGTCCAAGTTTGGTAGAAATCCAGGATAGTTTAAGAAAGTTATTAAAATTTCAAAAACTTTAACCACAGAGTGAATGTAATGTTTCTTGGCAGAAAAACTAAGTCCATTTATAAGTAAAATACAGAAAAAATGGAATTTTTTTTTTACAAAATTTACTTTTGAATATTATCTTATGATCATAAACAAGCTTCTGTCCAAGTTTGGTAGAAATCCAGGATAGTTTAAGAAAGTTATTAAAATTTCAAAAACTTTAACCACAGAGTGAATATTTGTGGACGCCGCCGACGACGCCGACGCCGACGGAATGTAGGATCGCTATGTCTCGCTTTTTCGACAAAAGTCGAAGGCTCGACAACAAGAGGTTCCTACGAGCCTGAATTGCTCACCTGATTTTTTTTTTGTAGATCTTGCATCAATGATTATTTTGCTGTTTCATGTATATAAGACCCCGTTCACACTAGGACATTTAGATCGGTTTAAACTAGATTGGTTCACTTTAGATCGATTTAAAGGCCAATGTGAACGCTTTGAATCGATCTTTAATCGGTCTAAACTAAAACACCAAAAGAGGTAGTTTAGTTTGAATTGATCTAAAGTGAACCGATCTAACTTTAAATGTGAACGCAAAGATCGGTTTAAGGTAGATTCATGGTATACCGCCATCTTGGATTGTACAATCTCAGTACACAAATGGTCTAGTTACTTGCCAAATCTGCAAATTTGGAGACAGATTTGCAATTTAATGGTTAGATTGTTTATTTATATGAAGAAAACTTGGTGATTTATTGTATTATTCAAAATATTTAAACAAATATCAAATTTTGTGTTTTTAGAATCATTTCTTTCAAATAAGCCATTTAAGGGGAGATAACTCTTTAAGTAAAAAATATATACTGGACTGATAGGGAAATTTTTAATTTTTACATGTGGCAAGAAAACAAGTTCGGTGACACCATTTTTTCTTTTTATTTTCTTAAAACATATTATAAAACCTATCTTCTTACAATTTATTTCAAAATTCTATCTCATAGAAATTTTTTTATGCACACAAATGTGTTTTTTCATGAACAATCTAACCAAATTTAGGCAATTTTCAACGACTCATAGCTTGGAAAATAGCACGGTGACCCATACTTTTTATTATATTTTTGAAAAAAGCATAGTAAAATCTTCCTTTTGGCAAAGTATAAGAAAATTCTATCTCAAAAAGTATATACTTATGATCTACCTTAAACTAGAACGATTGAATCGAAAATAATTTATGCGCATGTATAGCGGCAAAACTACAAGTGTAATAACATAACATCCCTGTATATATCAGTTTAACCCATATTTCTCTGTTAACAGACCTTTGTGTACATGCAAGTAAATTTGATTAATTATTTTTATTTATACACAATGTTTACAGTTTTACGGGTAATTGTGTCAGATAGATTGCATTTTTACTTGTAGTGTGAACACAGTGGTTCAGATTAGACGGATAGAGATCATTATGATTAAAGATGATGTGAATGCTAACTGGTTTATTTAGATCGATTCAAATTTAGATCGATTAAAAAAAATGCTAGTGTGAACGGGGTCTTAATGTGTGTTTAAACATGCTTTTCAAACATTCTCTCTATCTATCATAGTTTCTGCGTAAAACGATTTTTCTTTGTAAAAATCATCTTTCAAGGACAATAACTCCTATAAGGAATCTATTGACATTTTCGGACAAGTTGACTTATTTGTAGGTCTTACTTTGCTGAACACTTGTGCAGTTTAAAATTTCTTTTTATCTATAATAGTTTTCAAGATAACCACCAAAAACTCTGAAATTTCATAAAAATTGTTATTTCAGGGGTAATAACTCCAAATTGGGTTGTCTGATTCATCTAAAAATTTCTTCACTTATTGGTCTTGACCTGCTGATCTTTTTTATCCACTTCAGTTTTGCTCTAACTGTTTTAGTTTTTTGGATAGAAGCCAAAAACTGCAATTTACCTCCATTTCCTACTTTTAGCCATGCAGGATATTTCTCTCTAGTATAATATTATCTAAATGACCATTCAAACTATGGTAAGATTTTTTTGCTCAAGATAATAGAAGATATGTCAAAATAATACAAAAGGTTTTAAGATGTTGAAAAGTGATTTAGGCAAAAAATAATAGAATAAGATGATCAATAATAATCATATATACATGTTCAAGTAACCAGATGATAAAGGTAATTAACTCTGGACTGGTAAATGTTAAAATAATATGGTTTAAAGTCCATGACAACGAGTAAAACTGGCAAGGCACTTAGCCAAGTTCAGTACTTTCATCAAAATAATAAAACCTTGAAAACTTGATTTTTCTGATAATATTTTTTAACTAAAATGAAACTTAACCTGTAATTCATGCTCCATGAAATTGTGTAAAATTTCAAAAGATTTAGTCAATGATATAACATGTACAGTGGCCAGTAAATTTGTAATCCACCATTCATCATTAAATAAATTACATTAAATTCAACACCAGCAATAATCTAGAATAACTTCTTAAAATAAAGTTTCCAATTATTTTAAATAGACAAAAAATAAATTTAACTGTTGAAATCCAAAGATAAACTTTATTAAATAAATTTGTAAGCAATATATATACAAATAACAAATTTCATATTACTCCTACTTGTTACAAGGTAAACGTGAAACTTAAATTTTGTCTCAATGTGTATTATTTTGGAATGATATTCCATACTGGTATATGTAATGATATAAAGGATATGTAAATTATTGTGCATTTTTTAGGTGTATGTACTATAAAAATAACTACAAATAGATTTTGCTTTCTATGCGACTGCCATCAAGACATTTAATGTATGGAAAGTTATATTTTCTTTAGAAACAAAATATGATACTATGACTATTACCAGAAGGTGTGCAATATGAACATGGTATCTTTTAAAGATCACATTGGAGAGGAAAAAAAACAAAAAACACTCCAATTTAAAAAATTTTTGAGATATTTCTTAAAGTACTGAAATATGAAGGAAATAGTACTGTAAATTCAGAAATTATTGCATTCAATTATTATTGCGATTTGTGTAGAATGGACATAAATTTGAGATTAATTATTGCGATTTCAGGCAAATCTGCATACTAATGTATGTATCAGATATCTGAATGTGCGTTCTTATTATTGCGATACTAATCCAGTCGCATATGCATTATCCGCATTAATTAAAACCTCGCAATAACTTCTGAATTTACAGTATCATATTTTCGGAACAAGGAAAACTCATTTATTTGTAGGAAAATCATATGACTTAAGTTATTCACTTTGATGATCAGCCAAAGTCCTTATTAACCTTTTTGAAAATGTTTATATCTACCTCAGACAATGTTACACACAAAGAATATAACATTCAAACTCTTTGCACACAGTAATATCAATTAAAACTTCATACTTATAAATAGCATATTAGGAAAATAGAAAAATGCTTCACTCATAAAATTACCAATTAATGAATTTGAATTAGGTGGATTAGTTTTTTGTAACACATTGGCCTCAATTAACTTAAATTATCCTAATATAATCTTTGTAAAGTGATTATTACAGGAATTACAAGGTCTCCTTCATGTCCTTACTCATCTTCTAGCATATTAAATACATGAATATGGAGATAATAGTGTAGAAGCCAATTAAGTCCTACAAATTCAACAAAAAATCAAAGTACTGAAGTACTGAACATCGGATGACCGCAAGTTCTTGTGGATGGTCAAAAGCACATGTCACAGAAGAAGATCACATCTCTATACCTGAAACTGAGGTTAATGTACAGATATATTTTTTTTCTGAGACTAGTTCGTGCGTGGATGATGAATAAATGACAGGAAATTCAACCACACCGTAATAACTATTATATTGTAGTGATACAAATCAGTATACCTGGGACTATTATACTAATATAATAATAGTCCCAGAGTATGTATACACTGGTTTGTTGTTATATATTATATTAATATAACAGTTACATGTATATATAACTTGCATCCATTTGTGTATCATTCTATTGTACTATTCTAATAATAGTGCAGTGGAAGTGCATGGTGATCACATGGTAAAAAAATCCATTTTTCTAAAAGATTGGATATGAGCCATTCATATTTTCCCGCAAAAACAATTACAGAGTTACCGGTCCTTGCCGCGAGTGTCACAAAACGTTCTTGAGATATTCTTCCACAAATTTAACACAATTTTACGGTACGTGTGCATAGATATTATCAATTATTTTTTTACTTTTATATATATATATATATAAAACGACAAAACATTTTCATATTATTAATTTGTGTTTAAAAAAAATATTTATAGGAGCATCCATTGAAAAAAATGAATTTAAAACAAGCGATAAGGAATGTTATTTTGCACTAGATAATGTCCGCGGATCTATATTTTTTTATAGATCTGTTGAAAACCCAAAACTAATTTGCATAATGGAAATTTAGGCGATAGCAATACATCGGAATGACCTCACGGTCATCTCGATGTAAAAAGGAATAGGTTTTATATTCTGGAATGGCTAATTTTTACTATAAACACATGTACAAGTCAAAGACTTTTATTTAAAAGAAAATCATTTTATTTTATCCAAATCTTTATGAATGTACTTCTATTGAATTATTGACTTCCCTCAGGTGGTAATTTGCAGGCAGCTATTCTGTATGGTGTGGTCTTAACCATGACATCTGTCATCAGAAATTTTACAATCCCACATTGCAAATGTGAAGGGAAAAGTTGTGATGGAAGAAAAATTAAACAAACATGGAAGGAAGATAGTACATGTATTAACCTATTCTGATGGAAAACATTTAATACACCAAATCATGAAAGAACTTGTATGACAAAGTTAAATTTACAAATCAGAACGCATGGTAATATAAATAAAAAACAAATAAACATCACTCAATCATCTCACTTATTATACACATGCTTAATTAATAGCCAATGGAAATGCTGCAATATTGTTCCATGATGCTTGATAAGCCAATTAATTTAAGTAAAGGGTTCTCACTAAGGCAAGTCCATGAGTCCAGGACTCATGAAAATCTGTCTGGACTCGTCATTTTCAAAACTGGTAAGTCCAAACTGCATCAAAATTGTAAAATGTTGTATAAACTGAGCACAAATATCATTTGAATATCATCATTTTATGACACAAGTTTAAAAATAATTAAAACTTGATGTTATTTCCTTTCTCTATTTTGTCAAGGGGGCTGAAACAATAAATGATATACATGTATAGCAATAAAATTTCTTCTTCTCACTGTTGGACTCACTATGGCCAAAAATGACAAGTCTCTGAACTCGCCTTCAAATTTCCTTAGTGAGAACCCTGAGTAATGCATTTTTTTTATCACTTACATGTATAAATATGTACAGAAATATCTCTCCTAACAGGTCACAATCATAAGAGAATATCATATAATAGTAATGAAAGTTATTCAGCCAGTATATGCATATACCTCATTAATAATAAACAACAAGCAATCTCAAACTATTGTGTAGAGTTAATTTATGTTTGTGGAGAAGGAAAATAAATTGTACAATATTAAAGAAGTGTTGGCAACATACAAATGTGTCAATGAATCAATCAGCTACAACAACAATCAGCTGCTTCTAACTGGAAGGTGGGAATTTCCAAACTTCAGTGACTTGTGTTGTATAAATGTTAACTAAAAATTTCATATAGGTATAAATGCAGATTTGATCTATCAAATTGAAGCTAGTGTGATTCGCAACAAATTGAAATATAAAGCATAAAATACTGAACTGGAAATGACAAAATGTGTAACACAAAATTAATATACATATAAATAAAGTAAAAATGGCTTTAAGCCCTGTAATTAAAACAATAACAAGCTAACAGAAAACGATAAAACTTTGTAAAATATATTCATGAATCTTAAAACAATTTACTGTGGATTCATTTATTTTCATGGGTACCAATTTTCGTGGATTGAGGAAGAATTCCATTTTCATAGATATCTGAATTTGTGGTTTTGCCAAAGTCTGCATACAAGCCTATGGAAAATATGTACTTTGTTCAACATTTAAATTCGTGGTTCACCTATACCCAGGAAATCCATGAAAGTAAGTATCCCATGAATAATCATGAATCCACAGTATATGAAAATGCAAAAACAAATCCAAGCACTACAAGTAACATAACAACGGAAATGTTCTCATCCCACTAGAAAATATAATACTATAACACATACAATACTATAGGTATTTCAGAGTCGGGTATCTCATTAAAAACATTTTCAAATGAGCCCAAAGACTCATCATTTTTGTCCATGTTGAGTTCAAAGTTCTGAAAAAAACTTAATTAATTAACATACAAATGTATTCATAGCTTTTACTTATCATTTAAATCTACCAGTCAAATCTAAAAGGGGAAAGTTTCAGATAATGATGCAGCTTGGGATTCATCTATTTAAAAAATTGTGACTCCAGTCTAATTTTCATGAGGTAACAAGGATTCATGGACCCATCTTATTGAGAACACTATATACTGGAACCCACGTCTTCTTACTAGCTATTTATCATCATCAAATACAAAGGAAGATATATTATCAGTGCTTACTCAAAAACTACCTTAAGTCAATTATTAGTAAATGGTCTCAAATATACAATGCTGTTTTAATGGTACTGTACATGTATAAAATATACTTAGCATGAGCACGATGAGTAGTATTTATACTGCAATTTTAGCACCTACACAATGATATTTTTTTAATCATGTATATCAAAGATTATAATCAAATGATATGAAACTGCTACAGGTGTTTAAGATTTGCATAACACATTTTTACACTTGATATAAAATGTTGTTCTGGGTTAAGCTGAAAACCATCTTTTCTTGGGTATCAAAAAGGATTACTAAGCAATATGGATTGCAGAGCTTTGAATTTTTAAACAAGTCAAATATGTATTGTTGACTGTAAAACAACACACCAATAATACAGGAAAAATAAAATACCATTTTTCAGAGGAAATACTTATATAGCTTTAAACTTAATGGGTGGTACATAGCAGTTTATCTTTTTAACTTTGACTGGTGTCTAAGTATGTTACCATTTTTTTGTTCTTATAAAATAATGAAAAAATGCATACATTTTTCAGATATAAACTAGACTAAAAAAATAAATGCACAAATAACTCTTATGTAGGTAAATCTAGCATGTTAAGTAAAGGCTTAAGTTTTTCTATCATTTATATTTGTCTATAAACCTATAACAGTTGGCAATATAGCTCTCTCTGTACTTCACTAAGTGCTGACAATGATCTGAATCATCCCAGCACTGCGACTCTGCTGAAACCTTCAACACTTCTGATCTGTACTTCATAACTTCTTCAGAATCAGTATAAGGAATGACTTTATCAACTTTAGAACAGAGAAAAAGTTGTGGCCATCTAGATTTGTCGTCTTTCATTCTTCCATAAAGAGTATGTGGAGACCCAGCGTAATTCTTTCCGTAATATGCAGAACATATCATTGTTTTAATAGCAGTGAGGAAGAGATATATCAATATATATATGTAAGTTGTATGTAGAAAGAGTCCTGTTTTCCCACTTGCCAAAGCAAATGCATAAGCAGCTCTTGTAATTCTTCTTTTCCCTGGTGCACTATCTAATATACATCCCTTTATTTTCAAACTGTTGAATCTTTCGTGTTCACCGGAACAAAGGATATCTGATATCTGGGAGTAAACAAAGCAGCCATTATTGCTGAACACATGGAAAAACACCGGGTTGTCTTCTAAGCTGTAATCTGGTATAAGATCCAATAATTTTACAGCTATATTACGTAGTTCTGCAGGATTGAAATAAGTCACGTTTGTTGGTGCTATGTACCTGATGCTGATGCATCTGCAAATAAAAAACAGCATTTATTTTTCACTTTTTATTAAAAAAAATGGAATAACAACTTTACTTAAATCAAAGGTATCAGGGTTCTCACTAAGGCGAGTCCATGAGTCCTGGACTCATCATTTTGAAAACTGGTGAGTCCAAAGATGCTTTAAGATTGTAATATGTGTTATCAAGTGAGCACATATGTCATCATTTTATTACAAGTGTTTGAAATTAATCTAAATTTGATGTCATTTCCTTACTCTATTTTGTCATGGAGACTGAAATAATAAATGATTTGGCAATAAAATTTCATCTTGAATTCTTCTCACTGTAGGTTGAACTCCCCATAGCCAAAAATTATGAGTTCCTAGACTTGCCTGCAAAAATCCTTCGTGAGTACCCTGGGTATATTATAAAAATCAACATCCATATATATGCATGGTCCATTTGAGACTGTGTATACTTGCAATTCAATAAAAACTCTAAACACAAGGCTCCTAAGAGCCTGAATCACTTACCTGGTAAAGATATGACATTTTGATATTCGTTTTTACCTTTATTGCAATTGGATATGTTATTTTTCTTAGATCTTGTATTCCTATTATAGTTTTCAAGATAATTTGCAAAATTATGAAAATTTGTTCAAAATATGTTAGAAGGGAAACAACTATAAGGATTCATCCAATGGTTTCGGTCATATTGGCTTTTTTTCGTATATGATTTTATTGATTACCCTGTATAGCTTATAACTTTGCTGTTTACAGCTTTTATCTATATTTCATAGTTCTTGAGATAAAAATACTCATCATTTAAGGATCATTACACCTTAGTAAAGAGTCAGCCAATTGTTTCAGTTGTATTGGCACATTTGTAGATCTTGTATTTCTGATTATTTTTGCTGTTAGCAGTTTGTACCTATCTATTATAGTTTTTATGATAAGAGGCAATAACACTAAATTTGTCCTCCTTAATAAATAACTCCTTAAGGGGTCACCCAATGGTTTCCGTTTTATCATCGTTTTTGTACATGTAGATTTTGTTATGCTTATCATTTTTGTCTTCAACAGTGGCTACCTATCTAAAATAGCTTTTGAGTTGATAGGCAAAAAACAGCTTAACATGATAGGACTAAGATCATGAAGATAGTTATTGCATAGGGTTAAATACTTGAAAAAAAAAAACATGTTAAGGCCACACCAATTTGATTTTTAGTTCTTCGGACAAAAGCTCCAAAAAATATGGGACGAGCGAGCAAAATTTTTTTGATTCTATTTATTTCTTGAAAATGAGTTTTGTTGAGGCGGGTTCTCTACAAGTGGAGCGAGCGGTATAATATTTTTTTTAAATTGTGCGATTTAGAATTTTATGTACATGTAAAACTGGTTACTTCAAAGAAAAGGGAAGATAAACATGCTCATATGCATATAATTTGATGTATTTGTGCCTGTAGTACAGTCTGTACCATACACAACTTTCTGGTTCGCTTTGGTTTAGTATAATTTTGATTAGTTTCGTCAAATAAGCTTTGACTGTGTGAATTTTCATTAAAAATTAAATTCATACATGTGTATATATTAAGGAAGCATAACAGATGCAGTTTAGCAAGGGGAATTATGTTAGTGAGGTAAATTTAAATGAAATGTGTTGAATACAATTAAAATACATGTATGTGTATGTATTCCAAAAAAAGCCCTAGAAAATATTAATTATCTTTTGATATAGTTGTTTTTATTATATGGTAATGATTGTTTATTGGCTGCTTGACATCCAGTTGGAACTATTTATCCATAATAGGATCAACATAATGAGTAAGGTGAATAGTTCAACAACATCCTCAGTAAGATAGTTATATTGCTATGCATGTAGATCTCAATTTATTAAAACATTCCCTTAAAATACACATGCATTATTCTGACTTAGCAAAATACTTTTTCCTTTTGCCCCTGAAACCTGCAATGTATTAGGCTAACCTTAAAAATATGTTTGTTTGCAGTTTCCCGACTGTACCCTCAGACTGAAGGGTCAGTAGGTAGGAAAAATATTTTATTTTATCAGACAAAAAGTTTAAACAAGCAGTTACACAAACCAAGTTTCTTGTTAAGAAAAAAAACCTATTTTAAAACAAAACACTGAAAACCAACATGAAATGAACAGGCATTGTCAGATAAAAAAATCTTTTTAACTAAAACTGAAACTTTAATTCAATTTATGATATAAAATATGGTATTATTGAATACTGAAACACTTGTAGACAAGGAATGACTAGAACTGTTTTAAAGAAATATATTCAATGACATATATGCTTCTTGACTAGAAAGTTTTCATGAGTAGAGTATTTTCATCAGAAAAATGTAGATATTGAAGATTTATAAGACAATGTATTAAAGAGTGTATTTTTAATAAAAAAAAATCAGCGATTGAATCTTCCTCAATTGAAAAAAGGGCAACTTAAAAAAGACTGTTTTCATATTTCTAACAATATTTAATTATATGCAATACGATTATATTTTGAAAGATATGTTGATGCCAGACTTAAATGAAAACCAAAGAAAACTTACTAGTTTGTGGTGAAATCCATAGCACCCCATTAAAGTAAATGGTCTGTACTGAAATGTTTCGACTGCATAAAAAAATTGTCAGCATAGGTCCTAAGAACATGCTTTAAATTCAATTCACACAGTGACAGGCCACAAAGTTTGGGTATATTTAATATTGTAAGAAAGAGAATAGTTGCAATGAGTGGGGCAGCCCCCCTTATCCTAAAGGAGCATACTCATTGCAATCGAAGATAGATTTAATATAGAGAGAGTATATTTATTTTTCAAGCTAATCATTCATTTTCTCTACATCTTTGTGTATTTTGGGTTGCTTCTCATTGATTTGGCATGGCCGCTATCCATTTACATTTTAAATGAGTTCTTTCTCCGTACAGGCATCATGTTTACAGGTATCCATATATTCACGGAGGAGTGATTTAATCTTTGTCTTCTTCACAACGATTTATAGAAAATATGACATACTTCAAACTGCTTTTTGAATTGTTTAACCAATGAAATTGGTTCCATAAAGTCGAGCTCAAAAGATTCTGTACCCGATTTATTTGAGACAGAAAGTTGACAAAGATTAGTCCTATAACATATGACCTCGGGGGCATTTTTTACTATTTCTATTTACTATTTCTGATATTTTTTTTTACTATCAATGTGCCACCCGAGCATTAAAAACAATAAAAAATGAAAATATCAGTATAAAAACGTTAAAAATTGAATAAGAATGCGAAGTCATATTTTATAGGACTAGACAAAGATGAGTTATCGTGTCGGTTGTGAATATCCGCTGCATCTTCTTCAATGATATCATCAAAGACATCATTCGATGTGCCTGAATCTGTATAAACAGTTTACTATTAAATTTTTTTGTTTGTTATTTGTCTTAAAATTGACAGAAGTTGACAGCGTAAAGGACATAACTTCATGGATACCTGTAAAAAATTTCCATGTGCTTTATCATTAAACGGTCACATGAACGCTTGACGAGAAGGCAAGAAAAACCGAACTTAAAACGTGTAATTGACCTAGACTGAAATCAATTTCGGAAAGGACCTGAATTTCTGGATCTCGGCAATAGAAGTTTTAAAAATAATTTCTTAAAATTTAAAGCAATAAAATTTTCACAGTCGGGGGGATTTTCAAGGGTCGGTCGGTAAACTGCAAACAAACAATATTTTAATTTAAGCCTTATTATTATTAGCTTGCCAATCCCAATACCACCACTTTGGTCTCAAACGTTGGAACTCTTAAATTTTCCCTTACGAAAGAGTTCTGATTGCATGTCATTAGACTAACAAGGGGATATGTAAAAACTCGTGTGAATTTAATATTAATTTCATCCAAGACAGATAGATCTTTCTATGTCTGTTGTAATCCGAGATTACTCTGTATCCAACGGCTATTTTGCCAGACAAGCTGGAGCCGTGGGACAACAGTGCTCCATCTTGTCTGGCAAAACAGCCGTTGGACGTCAGAGTAATCTCAGACTATGTCTGTTGTGTAACCGGAGAGCATGATTCTTTTTACAAAATCGCATGTCTCCACCGAACTCGAACCCAGGACCTCTGTGTTACAAGGCAGCCACGTATACCGACTGAGCTAAAGAAGTACTTCCTTAGATCAACCGCTTACGGCTGACTAAGTATCTACTAATGAAGGGAAGCAATCCCGTCACAGTTGAAACAATGATCGGGGATGACAATGGTTCTAACTTCTAACAAGTACTGATGTGATCGTGGTCACCTAACGAACATCATAACCTTTTGTTAACTATGACCAAATTTTAACCACAAATTTTACTCAGAATACAGAAAAATCTGTTCACCTGGAAAAATGTTAAGGCATGGCTGGACCTAGATCATGTACATGTAGATAAATAAAATTCAAATGGATATTAAGATTCAAGTTATTAGAAGCTTGTTCCTGCAGAAGGTGCCAAAATAAACTAAGTTGGGAAATATGTTTGAAAAACTCCCCACATAATAACAAATATAGTAAACTTTCAACATAATTTATATGACTTTAATTATCCATCGGATAAGCGGATTACAAATGTACCTGTAACAAGTTACAAATTGTGACAGTTCATTAACTTAGAGTTGTAAACTTGTCAAAAACACGTTGCCAGGAAAAATTTTGTACATTAATTTTTTACTTATACAAATTTAAAGTGGCGAAATTGATCAGAAATACTTTTGTCATTTTGAACATAATTTCGTAAATGGCAAAAAAGCGCTGGCAAAATCACTGTTAGAGTATTTATAATTATCAAATAGAGTTGACAATTGTTCAATCATTATCAATCAATTCTATTGTTACTATCAATTTTTATCAAAATTCAGGATCAACTGTTATTGTATCTATCAAGTATCAAATGTAGAAAACATGTACCCTAATGGAAAAGAATAAGTGCATTAATGACATATATGATTGTATATATACATGTAGTAACCTTGGAATAATTTTTTCATAAACTTTGATGTAATGTTATTATAGCGACAGTAGCAAATACAATGTAATGTCTAATATAAAAGTGTGTGACTTACTCTACTACAATAAACATGATAAAGATATATTATGTTGAATATTTCAGAGATATAACATATTCATCATTTCAAGAATTCTTAAATTTCTAATTTTCGGAAACATAAAATGCATTTGAATTTTATATACATGTACATGTATCTAGGGCATGATTATGCCTATAAATTTTTCCTGATGCACAACGGTTTGTCGACACTCAGAGTAAATCATGTAAATTTAGTGGTGTAAAGTTGTAAACATAGCCAAAGGGTCCACATGAACCTTAAATAACATAGTAAACCAGCTATAACACATATCAAACAAAAAACATTGATGTTGGAATTTCAAATAAAGCGAAAAATTATGTTAGATAGAGTTCACTTTTGTCTTTTTAGTCTTTCCTGTGAAATGTGAATATAAAAATTAGAAGATGTGGTATAATTGCCAATGAGGCAACTCACCACCAGAGACCAAATGACATAGAAGTTAACAGCTATAGGTCACTGTACGGTCTTTAACAATGAGCAAACCCAAAACCGCATAGTCAGCTATAAAAAGCCCAGAAATGACAAATGTAAAACAGTTCAAACCAGAAAACTAACGACCTGATTTATGTACAAAAAAATGAACGAAAAACAAATATAATATACAGCAACAAACAACAACCACATACATGTACAGATAGTGGCAGGGTTAAACTAGGAGGTGCCAACCGAATCCGGGTCCATTTGCCCAAAATCATGTTCACTCCCATTCACGTTCGCCCCCTTTCACGTTCGCACCTTTTTTAAAGGTTTTGTGTTGAATAGTTTGTTAATCATGTTTTAGTTAGTGTATTGCTATAAGTTATAGATATTTCATATCTTTTGGATAGTTTTGCAGTGTTTCGTAAATTATACCATAGCTTTTGTTGAAACCCCTGGCAATAACCTCACGAGACGAAGTCGAGTGAGTTTGCCGAGGGGTTTCAACAAAAAACTATGGTATAATTTACGAAACATCGCAAAACTATCCAAAAAATATGGAATATCTGTTTTAACCTATCGCATCTTTTGCTGTTTACAATTGTATATTTCATATATTTTTGTTTGTTTACTTTAAAAATAGTTTTGATAAGAATCAGTTAAATAACCCTTTTCGGGCCTTACACATAAAGCGCCGCCTACTTTCTAAAATAAGCACAGGCTTCTGAAACAGCGGGAAATTCAGTAAGACGAGATGTTTCAACAGAGATGGATGCACATTTACATTGGTGACAGATAACGTTACAGACGAACAAATGTTAAAGGAATTAGATGTTCTGGATATGGACGCAAGAGACCACAGATTAAAAGTTGAACTGCAAAGGGTTAGTTTTTTTTATTTTATCAAAATGTTTGAATGTTTGAATTTTTTAATATTCATATATAATTCTGAGGAAAGTAATTTCACAAGAATCTTTTTGAGAGTTTGGATGAATCATTCTACATTTTAATTTGTACATGAAGCCCAAGTCGTACATAAATTAAAACGGATTTCAAAATGTTCATAATTAAAATCACTTGTTTACTAGCAATAATTTACATAAAAAAGTAAGCTTCATTTAGAAAAACCAGACGCCATCTAATTTTAACATTTCAACATTATTGTTATTACTTGAGCAACCTCGTTAAAGTCTAGATGTCAGCAATGTATAACACATCGGGTGCAGGTCCAGGATTCTGAAAGGGGGATCTAGCAAGCCAACATTTGGAGTAATACAATGAAAAAGTCTATGCATTTACCAAATATGAAGCTCCTTAAAAGGGGCTTGCTCCCTGCCCTCCCCCAAAAAGCCGTCTCGGCAAATTCAAATCTATACATGTAGCTGTAAAGTGAAGCCTATGGAATACATTCCAAGTATAAATCTCAATAACCGAAAATCAACTTATATTTTCCGGTATAATATATACACATTTATATATCTTTTTTAACTTTATTTGTTTGTATATTTGTTCTAGGAGCGATTTTTTTTCATTTAAAAATATAGGACAACAGAGTTGGTGTACGTGGGTTCGATTCCCACCCTAGACAGTTTAGCTTAGTGGCCCCGCACTGACTCTGTTGTTCAAATGTCAAAAAATTCAGACAGCTATCTTTCTTTTTCTCGAAGACCCTATACAACAAAACTATGGTATAATTGTGAAAATTATACCATAGATATCTATGGTATAAATTTCGGTTATTGAGATTTATACTCGGGTTGCATTCCCATAGGTTCCATTGCACAGCTATAGGTTAAAATATAGATAAATCATATTTTTTTATTGTGTCAAAATAAAGCGACATTCTAAAAACGAAAACAGGTTTCTTTTAGTGTTTTAAGAATTATTTTTGACGAATTGAAAAATTTATTAAAAGAAGATTGACGTACGTACCAACGTATATATACAGAATGTAATTATGCTTATTTGGGGTCTCACTAATTAACTTTCAGCACTCAATCATTCAAATCATGCACTATTCCAAATCAAAATGAGCACTTAAATATTTAGGATAACTACACTAGCTATAACAACAATCATGATTTTCAAACTCATAACAATAATACCAAATTAGCTTTGTATACACCAATTAACAGTAATCATAAATAATTAACATTTAATAATTAATTATCTAATAAAAAAAATCAACTTCATACTTCAATTAAAAAATTTGTAAGGGTTCCGCGGAACCCAGTGTCTCGCCTACTTTTGCTGTTAATTGCAGGCTCAACAAAAATGAGATGAGGAAAAAATTTAATAAAAATATTCCTCTTGATACAATTTTTTTATTGTAAGAAGCTTCTGTCCAAGTTTGGTAAAAATCAAGGATAGTTTATGAATCTAATAAATTTTTTAAAAACTTTAACTGCAGACTGTATGTAATGTTAACTGGAAGAAAAACTAAGTCCATTTATAAGTAATATAAGGAAAAACAGGAATTTTATTTTTACAAAATTTCCTTCTAGATACTAGCTTTTGATCATAAACAAGCTTCTGTCCATGTTTGGTAGAAATCCAGGATAGTTTAAGAAAGTTATTAAAATTTTAAAAACTTTAACCACAGAGTGAATGTAATGTTTCCTGGCAGAAAAACTAAGTCCATTTATAAGTAAAATACGGAAAAACAGGATTTTTTTTTTTTAATTTACTTCTGGATACTATCTTATGATCATAAACAAGCTTCTGTCCAAGTTTGGTAGAAATCCAGGATAGTTTGAGAAAGTTATTTAAATTTTAAAAACTTTAACCAAAGAGTGAATGTAATGTTTCCTGGCAGAAAAACTAAGTCCATTTATAAGTAAAATACGGAAAAACAGGGAATTTTTTTTTTACAAAATGTAATTCTGGATACTATCTTATGATCATAAACAAGCTTCTGTCCAAGTTTGGTAGATATCCAGGATATTTTGAGAAAGTTTATATTCAAATTTCAAAAACTTTAACCACAGAGTGAATATTTGTGGACACCGCCGACGACAGAATGTAGGATCGCTATGTCTCGTTTTTTCGACAAAAGTCGAAGGCTCATCAAAAAATTCACTAATTTTTAAACATGAAAATGTAATTATTTAGATATATATACATCTTAAAAATATCTAATTATTTAACCTGTATTAGAATAAAAATTGGATGCGAACGAACTCAGGGGCAAACATGTGGGGTGCGAATGTGTAATGGGAGTGAACGGACCCAATACCCCCTAACCTGGGACCTAACCTTGGACTTAATCATATTAAATATCAAAATTTTTCATTCAGCTTTTTCATGAAGAAAACGCCTAACTTATTATAATGACTTCAGAATTAATCACATTGTGATCTAATTGAAATTATGTAATCACTGGTTTTTTTAACAAAATTCTCACCCTTTTTGTTCATAAAATTGACTGTATTTTGCCAGGTATTTGTCTTTGCAACCTGCCCAGCCCAGTAAATACACGACAGGTTCAGGTTCTTTTGAATCCTCATCATCATCAAATCCTAGATCATCGAAATCATCCACTGGTCCTGCAGCGTCATCAGAATTTCCTGTTCTTGGAGCTGGAAATGAAATATCGTACTCAAAATCGTCCTCCTCCATTTTGATCTTTTCACAAAAGTCATTTTACATTGTTAATTTTCATTGGCTAACGACTTTAATTTGATCCAATGAAAATTGATTTAATATAAAAGCGTACTTATGAAAAATGGCGATGTAGCAACATGTAAACAACTTATTTTTGATTGAGAGTATAGTCTAAAATTTGTAGTGTTTGACATCATTTAGTGCTTTTAATGCGAATAATATAGAGACAATTTAAATAATGGGGTCATCAAAGCAACAATCAGCCATTTCAAAGGTCACAAATCTTCTACAGGAATGGGATAAAGGAAGTAAAGTTGTTAGAGCAAAAATTTTGATTGACTTTATTAGACAGAACCAAAATAAAACAGGACCTGAATTGGAACAAGAGTTTGCACAGGCTGCTAGTTTATTTTTAACAAGACTAACAGCTTGGCTTAGATTGACGTATCCTTTTTCATTAGAGACTATTCTCGACATTAAATAGGTTCTGTATGATTGATGCTGGCTGATAATAGCTTTCGAAACGCTACGGCCATACTTCCACATCGTCAATAGGGTGTGTCGGCCATACCCCCACATCGTCCATAGGACGTATCATCCATAACTTGTAAAGACGTATCGTCCATATACTTTAAGTAGGAAGCAAGACAACTCGCCCCACTGCCAAATCGCCCCACTTTTTCACCAACTCGGCCCACTTTTCAAAAAATAACACCACTCTTGTTTACCAACTCGTCCAACTTTCTAAAAAACTCGCCCCACTTATGACAAAGGGTAAAATACTGATAATATGTAATAAAGGTCTACCAACTCGCCCAACTTATGAAAACTTATCTACACAGAATAAAACAAATCACTTGTGATACTAATAAAAATCGAAAATTGAATATATGACTATGATTGAATTAAATGATGCTTCATTTCTTAAAATAAAATTGTAGATCTACATTATTTATTATTATGTAATTTTATTATTTATTGGAGAATAACTTTATTATTATTATAAACACGCATGATTCTTGACTTATCTAGTAAAACAGTGATTACATTTACCAGAAAACAAACATCATAAACAGTTACAATAGTCAATAACTGTTAACGTCGTATGTCACAGAAATGCTGATAATTACTTCTTTCTGCTTTATTTCAACCAAAAGAAAAGAGTTAAAAAAAACAACAAGATGCATTTCTAAGGTTTTCATCAGTATTTATTTAATTCATAAGTGGGGTGAGTTGGTAGATCTTAATTCAGTACAGTTTAATTCTTTTATTCACTAGTTGGGCGAGTTGGCAGACTTTTATTCAATGGGATTAAACTCCTTTTTATAAGTGGAGTGAGTTGGTAGTCATTAATGCAGTAAGATGTACTCCTTTTTTCATAAGATTAAGTGGGGCGAGTTGGCAGACCTTTATTCAGCGGGATTTTACTATTTTTCATAAGTGACGGGAGTTGGCAGACCTTTATTCAGCGGGATTTTAACCTTTTTAATAAGTTGGGCAAGTTGGCAGACCTACATGTATATTCAACGGTAAACAAGCGTTGGGCGAGTTGGTGAAAAGGTGGGGCGATTTTGTGTGGGATGATTTGGCAGTGGGGCGAGTTGTCATGGATTCCATTCTGGTTATAACATAAAATAAAATAATACACAACAAGTATTATTTCATAGTTATAACATAAATATATGGCGAGGCTGTTGTTTTCCAAATTATTGCAAACGACATTTCTGGTTACTTTTATCTGGGACTATTATACTACTTAGTATAATAGTCCCAGCTTTTATGCTGCAAGGTTGGTACTTCAAAAGGCTGCTCAAACAGCTTGTATTGTTACCCAATGTACAAAATGTATGTTTGTATCCACTTGAACTCAGCCTGGGTGCTTTTGTTTTTATAGTGATCTTGTGTTGTATTTCTTTGACAATTTCTTGACAAAAGCATAATTAATACTATGTTCATCAAAGAAATGATAAGCAATTAACAATCTTCTTTAATTTTAAAATTAATCATTATCTGATTACTTAGTTTTATATTTCAAAACTAAACTTATTGTTTTAACATGACAGAAATTAATCTTCCTTTTTGGATATTCATTTTTTATTTTTTTTTTATTTTTCAGTTTGTTTTACGCAAGATATTAAAAATCCATTTAGAAAATAATAATTAATATAGATATTTATTAGATAAAGCACATTTATATATATGATATATATAATGTGTATTCCAAGTGTATAACATATAAAAACATGACAAATAATGTAAATACAGCATAATACATTTACAAATTCATTTTCGAAAATGAAAATCAAGGACAACGCATCTTTACAAAGTATGGACAATGTTGTCCTATAGCCGATACATCTTTTCATGGTATGGACGATACTTCCTATGGACAACATGGCAGTATGGACGTCGCCTCCTGCATCGCTGATAATACACCTTATCGCTATCTGTCTGCCATTACTGGACATCACAGATATTCTTGTTAAATTTTGATGTCACAAGAGAAAATGTCTGATTGCACAAAGGAAAAGTGATTGTTGTATGACGTCAAAAGTTCAAGTGTTCCAGATCCCCTAATAGATAAGGTCTATTCTAATGTCTCGTAAGTCCATTCATTTAACTTGATGTTAAGGAAATGGGATCGAAGGACTTACATGTAATCGAATTAATGAAATTACTAGACTTCAGGGTATATCTTCAGTTTGGCCTCAAATAACAAAATACACCTTATCGCTATTTGTCCACCATAACTGGCCATCACAGACATCATACATGTGAAGATTATATATGAGGACAATATCTTATTTTCGGGGGGCCTCCTTCGGTCCCCCATTTGAAGAGATCAAAATCCCATTTACACAATGTATCATACTTTCCATAATGAAAATTTTCAGACACCATTTTTACTATATAAACATTACCGCCCTAGTATAACGAAAGTGTGTTAAAAGATAGATTTCCTGTGTAAATGACATTACACTAATCGTTGATTTTGACCCTGAGACTAATTAACAAGTGTTTTTAAAACATGTAGTTTGATAGAACAATCAACAGGGGAAAGGATAGTGATCATGATAATTGTTAGATATGGCATCTATTTATGATGATTAGAGGTAATTACCAGCATTGTAGATAGGTGTAGTGTTGTCAAAACATTAATCAGAGGGTTATGATGCTGAAAAAAAAACAGTTATTGTTAAGGAAATGGCTTCAGGCTCAACATTCTACACCTTCAGCATATGTTAAAGAAGGTCCAAACAAACAGTAGGGAAAACCTTGACTATAAGACCATTCACAGCCTCCTCAGTGTAAAGTGTGCCAATATCATTAATTTATCATTCTGCCTCTGAAGAAGGTTAATGAAAGACTGAAATTGGTGAAGCTTTGAATCACACTAAGCACTTTAATTGTGTGATTTGGCATTACCTACATTTAAATTGTTATCAATCCTTAATTAAGACAGATATATGATTGGCACCAGTCTGAATGAACAGCTACGAGCTATTTCCATATTCTTATCTGCATCAAGTGGGTAAGTACATGTATAAGTTTCTTCATTTGTTTTAATTGTAAGATATTTACATTAATAATTTTTTTGTTTTAAATTAAATCATTTTTCTCTTTCAAACATTGTCATGATTGTCAAAATGACTATACTTTAAGGTAAATAGCTTTCCCACAAACTAAGGAGAATGTAAATAAAGGTAAAATGATTTTTTAATACTATGAAAAAAGACTATAGGACAGTATTGGGTGCTAACACTTTTCAATTTATATACCCAATATCCCCTTTTATTCAAAATAGTGTTTGTTCTTTATATATCTTAAATAAAACCATCCTACACATGTATTTCAAAAATAATTTCTGCTATATTCCTTGCTAACTTTTTATAAAGTTTTGACTGAAAGTTAATGGATTATTTATAGTTGATTGTTTGTTTTGATGAAATCAATTACTATGGATACATTATAGTTTATATTGAATTGTGAAAGACATTATATATTTTGTACTTTACTTATAGATTTGTAGTACATTTTTGTAACATAGTTTTCAAATGCCTATGGATCGAACCAAAAAAAAAATGATTTTGATGAGGATATTTACAGTATTATTAAAATGAATTATAATGATTATGCATGATAACACCAAAAGATCAATTAATGTTATTACCATTGAAAATATGAATGAAAAAAATGTTAACAATACTATTAGAAGAGATTCTTGAGAATTGTGCACATTTGAAAGTAAATACAATAGAATTCAATGATAGAACTATTTAGGTAAGATTTTATTCCATAAATCCATTTAAATTATATTGGTTAGGTGTTATAATTAAGCTAAATGATAATCTTTTTCTGAGATTCATATATTGTTTTTTTTTATTTATAGACATAAATTTATGGCAGAATTCATAGAAGTTGGTGGTGTTCTAACATTACTAGAAATTATAGGACTGAAGCAAGCAAAAGAAGACGACAAGTTGGAGTCTTTAAAATGTTTACAGTGTGTAGCTAATGCTGGCAGAAAGTATAAGGAACTCATCTGTGAAAGCTATGGTAAATAAATTTTTTTGAAGAATTAAAGATAACTTAACAATAAGTGCTTAAAAGCTGTTATTTATAAACAAAGATAACTTAACAATAAGTGCTTAAAAGCTGTTATTTATAAACAAAGATAACTTAACAATAAGTGCTTAAAAGCTGTTATTTATAAACAAACAAAAAATAAAATAAAGATCATTTGTATGTTTGTTCTATTAATGCAATAAAACTGGTTCTAATTTGTACACAAATATGTAAAAGCCTGGTCATGTTTCTATCCATAGTTTTAAGTTAGAGATACACTAAGCCTAACAACACTGGAATTAAATGGTCACATTGGGGCCTTTTATAGCTTGCTATGCTGTATTGGTTTTGCTCATGGTTGAAGTGACCTACATCATGCTACATGTATTATAGTTGCTAACCTTCTACATCATTTGGTGTCAGGTGGAGAGTTGTCTCATTGGCAATCATACCACATCTTCTTATTTGTATATCT